GATATAGATGCATCATCAGGTAAAACCTAACAGACTGAGGGCAGAGGGATCTGGGTGTCCAGAAAGAAGTTATAGACAGAGATAGGTGTAAGCAGAGACAAAAGAGGTGAACAAATAGCTTGCACCGTAGCTTATTTCCAAATCACATAACAAGCCAGTGATAGTTAAGAGTAGACTTGGAGCCTTTTGGTTAAAAGCATGGGCTCTAGGGCCAGACTGCCTGGTTCATGTCCCAGCTCAATTCTAATTTCTAACTGTGGGTGGTAAGTCCTTTAACCCTCTTAGGCCTCAGTTTTCTCTCTTATAAAATGGAAATAATGATGATAATAGGATTATCACATAAGAGTGTTTTCAAGATTATATGCCAAGATGCTTATACAAGCAACTGGCATGTAGTAAGCACACAATAAAAGTTACTATCATTATTTTTAAACTATGAGGGCAAGAGAGCCAAAGCACCACATTCAAAAACCAACCCTTGAAACTAACTACTTCTAACCTCGACCTGCAGTGTCACAAATGACAAGAGAAAAGAGAAGGAATCAGGGCTGACAATGTGAATGTATTTGCAAAGCCCCATCACCATCTAGATCTATGACAATAATAGCTCAGTAGCATCAACTTTCCTTATGGAGCATGTACAAAAGTATAAATATACTTTGATTTTGAAGATGAGAGCTTTTGTGCTCCTTGATCTGTAGTGATTGGCTTATTGCCAATATGAAATAACTGAGTCAAGGACACTGTTTCAAATTTACAATGCAATACAGACTCCCTGCTAAAAGGCAAATTCTTCATTTCCAACTGTTGACTCAGATAATACTTGAAAAAGAATTTCATCTGTTTAAATTTAGCATGCTGAGAAAGACCAATCTTAAAATATTGTTTGGCTTATGCCCATAACATTTTCATTTTATTCCTTGTTAGTATTTGTCTTCTGTGATAAGACGACAAATGACAGTATTCACGCTATTCTCCTTAACACTCGAATTTTACCTAAATGAACTATTTTGTTTTTATCCTCACCACTTAAAGATGGCCTTTCATTTCCTGGCAAATTTTCAGAAAGTGATTATGCAAGAACCAGTAATATTTCCAAGCACTGTTTTACCTCTTCAGTCATCATCTGGCCTTTCTCCCTACTTTCCTTTGAATCATCATTTTTCCTCTTCAACACACACACACACACACACACACACACACACACACACACACACACACA